TGCTGGGATCTCTGGGAAGAAATCCTTCCCAACAGAAGATTTCATTCCATATTATGTAGCTCACCAGGGATTGAAAATCTGATCTAGTTCAGCAAAAGGCCGCAGGTAGGAAGAATTTATCTTAAATCCATTATACAGATTCTTTCAATACTTTTTTCGAAGTTCTGTGGGAGTGATGTTCTATGTTGCATCAGAAAACTGACTGTGAATGAAATTTCATGTTGATAAATGTAAAGTATTTTTCCCCAATGTGCATTAATCTCAACTATACATACAAAATGATGGGGACTAATTTAGCTATAACTAAGTAGAGAGATCTTGGGAGTCGTTGTGGATACTTCTCTGAAAACATCCACTCGTGCAGCAACAGTCAAAACAAACTGATTGTTAGGAATCATTTAAAAAGGGATAGAGAATAAGACAGAAAACATCTTATTGCCTCTATATAAAACCATGTTATTCCCACATCTTGAATACTGCATACAGATGTGGTTTCCTCATCTCAAAAAAGATATATTGGTGTTGGAAAAGGTTCAGAAAAGGGCAACAGAAATTATTAGGGGTTTTGAACGGGTCCCATATGAAGAGAGATTAAAAAGACTGGGACTTTTCAGTTTAGAAAAGATGAGACTAGTGTGGAGATGTGATGGAGTTCTATACAATCATGACTGGTATGGAAAAAGTGAATAAGGAAAAGTTATTTGTCCCATAATATTAAGAACTCTAGGGGTCACCAAATGAAATGAATAGGGAGCAGATGAATACAAAACTAAAGACAAGGACATTAACAGGGTTCAAGGAAGAACTAGATACATTCATGGAGGTTGGGTCCATCAATAGCTATTAACTAGGATGGGTAGGAATGGTGTCCCTAGCTTCTGTCAGAGGCTAGGAATGGGTGACAGGAGAAGGGATTACTTGATGATTCCTTGTTTTGTTCACTCCTTCTGGGGCATCTGGCATTGGCCACTGTCAGACAGGATGTAGGGCTAGATGAACCTTTAGTCTCACCCAGTATGGCTGTTCTTACGTTCTAATGCCTGTCACTGACATCGAATATGCAACAGATCATAGCTGTCTCCCCAGCTGCAATCCATATCTCAAGTTGTTATTAATTTGAAGAGATTTGAGACTTGTAAGGACCAGTTTCTCTCTGCCACTTGAAAATTGAAACAGTTTAACTGTCTTGTTAGTTTAACCTGTTCTAGCTGCACACAAATAATTTATAAAAAAGTAAAACAAATGGATGACAATTTGACATGAAATGAGGTGGTGTTTCCTTTAAAATATTCAGCAGACACATTGATGTTAATTTGGCACTAATTAGAAAACTTGCTGGCAATGTCAGCAGAATTTTTAAGTTAGAATTGGTAGGAATACTGAATTAAAACCTCTTATGCCAGAGGTGTCATAATATATTGCCTATGGGTCACACCTGGCCCCCAAGAAACTGTGACCCATAGGACACATTGAGGTAGCTTTTAAGTTTTCTAATTGATTCTGCATAATCATACCTGTAGAGAAAACCTTTAAAATGTGAACAGTGTAATTAATGCAGTGGTGCTTTCCTGAGTGTGTGGATAGTCTGAAACAGGGACTCAAAGGAAGAACTTCCTTCCCCTTTTTAATTTGATTGATATGTCAGTTTAATTGCTGGTCACTTTTAATGAGTAAGGCAGTGGGAATGATTTCTGTAAGGTTTAGGAATTGCTTCAGGGAATAAAGTTATAGAGGAATGAATAGAAGGAGTCTCAAAGACAATGAAAGGACAGAGAAATAGAGTAGAGAGAATAGGAAAGGAAGAATAGTTGTGAGCCTAAAAGGGAGTGTGTTTCCAGAGGGCTCTCTGGATGTATGAATAAAGCATGGAATAGCATAAGGTTTGCTAATACATAAATCTACCATCTTCTCTTGATCTCTGTAAAAGCTTCACATGGGCATCAGAGGACATTGTGTTGCATATTGTGGGGAGTATGTAGTCCTTAATTTATACTATGTTCCATAGGTCATAAATAAATAGCAGTCTGAATGTAGCTGACCCTTCCTTCTCTTCTTGTAGAGGTATTGGGGAAGCTTGCTAAGGTTGCATCTTATGAGGCTCAGTAGATAATTTTAACATCTATTTCTACTAATCTTGTCATTTTAGTACTTATGAAAAAACAAGGGAAACTCTCCTTAAAGGAGAAAAGGCACTAAGAACTTCATAGTGTTCTCTGCAGAATGAGAGATGGATTTGTAAATGGGCCGTAAGATTAGAAGATGAAGAAACAGAGTTAGTAAAGCAAAATGTAACAAAAGGAAAACAATATTGAAGGTGGGGGAAGGCTTGCTATGCTTTCATGTTTAAATTTTATTTGTGCATATTTAATACATTTCCAGATGTAAACATTTATAGTTAGCAAATTTAACCCATGTTGCCAAGCTCCCCAATATTGTAGAAAAAAAGTCCTAGCCTGCTCTGTTTGCTTGTTTTCCTGATTATTTCTCATGTGTGTGTTTATATAAGTAAAAATGGCCCTTATTGGGTTGCTTTGTACTAGAATAGTCATTTTACTTTAAGTATGAGATTAGTGTTCAAGGAAAATAGAATAACAGTAAGGAGAAGAAAATAATTAGAGAATCTCTAACTTGAGGTTTCGTTTGGGCCCTGTACATATCTATGTACATGACAGATATTTTTTTGAGTGGGAAAGCTCTACTTTAATGTTCTAGTGAACTAATATGGCTTAAGAAAGCTTATAAGACTAGCATTTGAGAGATTTAATATCAAAGTGCAAATTTCATATTTATGAAAAATCCGCATTTTGCACCAGAACATCTTAATATTTGTGCAAATTACTTTTTAGTACATGCCTGTATATTGTAGAAGTTCTAAAACTAAGGATAATTATAGAATTTGAAAGGGGAGGAGGGCAGCTTTGAAACTTTTAGAGAAAATCAGTAAACTCATTGTCAGAACCTAGAAATAATACAACTTTAAAGATTTTTTTTAATTGTTTTTATAACATAGTTACTTGCACTTTACCTGCTGGCTTTTCAATTTTGGTAGATAACATTCTGAACTCCAGCAGAGTTTTATAATCCCTAGTGCTTAAATATACTAAATGTTCTTTTTCCATTAAGGTTAATGTTCGTGAAGAGATTGAAGAGTTTTTTCCAAGAATGTGGAAGATAAATCAAGATAAAAGAAGGCTAATGAAAAGTATTAAAGATCAGAAAATTAAAATTGAATGGGGGAAAAAATTGAACAGAAGATTGGTCAGATAGAAGCACTTGAATGTTTTTTTTAAGGCTATAATGAATTGTTTGAATTGGGGAAGAATACACGAAGTATGAAAAATGAAAAACTCAATGAAGAATGAAGAAAAGTAGAAAGCAAGAGTGAAGTAGAATTAAAAGAATCTGGAAGAATGAATGGGTCCTAGGTTAAGTAAATGTATGGTTTATGTTCCAGTGTCTGTATGATCAAGTTGTAGATGAATTTGCATGATTACTTAGTTAATAGAGAATTGGTGATCTGGTTCAAGTAGGGAATTATTTGAGGAAAGCATACAGTATTAACAGTGGGTTAACAGACTGAAAATTGTTCTGGAGGGAGTCGTCTAACCATTTGTCTTTCAGGAGCAATCAAATAATATAATTACGGTACTTTAAATGTTAGGAGCTAGGCATTTATGTGACCAGTACCATTTGTAATACTATCTTTTTTGTTAGGAGTCTCGCTCCCAGTCAAAATCTCCAGCTGGGAGTCCTGCTCGTGTAAAATCGGAGAGCAGGTCAGGATCTCGTAGTCCGTCGAGGGCTTCCAAACATTCTGAATCGCACTCCCGGTCAAGATCAAAATCCAGGTATGTACTGAATTTGATAAACATTAATTCTGTATCGTGTATCCGTGGGTATGATGTAAGAAAGCTAGAGCTTCTGATTTTCACTTTTGACCAAGAAACGCATTAAAACATCGCAATACTGAAATTTTTTACACCCAATAAATAGCAGAAAAACACCAGAAATTTATCTGAAGCCTTGGCTACAGAAAGCAGTAATGTAGACCATTGTTCCCAATTTTACTTGGCCACGGAAATCTTTTAAACTTGAAAGAATTTTGTAGAACCCCTAATAACAGTCTTATATATGGAGTTGAAAAAGTAGACCACTGAGAGTGAGTACGAGGATTTACAGTGGTATATAGCAGGCGATCGCACTACTGATTGCACATGCAGCGTTGAGTAGTGACATGGTCCTCACTCTCTGGATTAGCTGGCATACACAGGGACACTTATCTTGGCAAACACAAATGAAAATTGTTTTCAATAAAATTCATAAATGCTTAAATATTAGGGTTTTTTAAAAGATCAGAAAAGGTCATTGTAATGGAATTTTCTCACAGAACCCTTATTTTCACTTCACGAAACCCCAGGATTCTGCGGCACACCATTTGGAAAACACTGACTAAGGATGTTAAGTTTAGATTAATCAACTAATCAAATAGTCGATGCAGTTTGCATTGATTAGTCGATAAGGGTATCTCCACCTTTGAAATGTAGCAGGATCCCTGATGGCTCTTGCTACATTTCAAAGGTGGAAGCACTGCCAGTTCCCCACTGTGCCCTTGCTCCCTCACCCCCCTGCTGCCTCTCTATGATAGAGGCAGCAAGGGGAGGGGGAGCAACTAGTAGAGTTGACTATCCGATAAGCATATGCTTATCGGATAGTCAACTAGTCACTTACGTACCTAATGCAGACAGTTGCTTAACATAAAAACAACAATGGTCCTGTACTACTTTAGAGACTAAACAAAAAATATAGTATGAGCTTCATGGACATAACCCGCTTCAGATGACAAATTAATAATTATTCTATTATAGAAAAATAATTATAATTTGTTATCTGAGGAAGTAGGTTGTGCCCATGAAAGCTCATGATGTTATCTATACATATTTGTGGTTAGTCTATAAGGTACTGCAGGACCATTGTTTACATTTTTTTAGTTACAGACTAACAGGGCTACCTCTCTGTTACTTAATATGTTAGGCATTAATTAGGCCTTGCTAGTTAGTCTGCACTAAAGTTGCATACATGTAGTGTTTTTCAGGTAACACCATGTTCTTCAAGAGTATCCATGTGGGTGTTCTGCTTTAGGTGAATCTGCACTCCTGCACTTGTAATAAGAGATTTGTAATATCTGGGTGTCACACACTGTCTTCATCTCAGGCCACTCTGAAAGTTACATAGAGGGTGGTAGCACAGCGCTGCTTGAGACGGAGCACTTAGCAGTGTCTCTTGAGCTTTATCTTTAGAGTACCAATTTAAAACTCAGGGGCCCCGCCAGGGGCCTTCCATCCTCCCCTCCTCCCCCAATTCTGTCCATTCCTGGCCACCAAGAGCCTTCTTCTCCTCTCAACCCTCCACCCCCTCCCCAGCCCTTCCAGTGTTGCAGCCAAGGGAGGGGAAGGGCTTGGGGACAGGGCTACTTACCTGGTCTGGTGGCAGGTAAGATGGCTGAGCCCCATCCCGGGTGCCATTCTTGGTACAACTGTCCTTGGTGGCCACTCTAAGTATTGAGTCCCTCTCCCTTTCTGTGTTATGGAAAACAGTCCCATTCCCATTCCCAGCCATTTTCTAGGCTCAGTCAAACCCTAACTTTGCTTTAAATTAGGATAAGAGGAAATTTCTTATCAAATTTGGTCATCCTCGCTCTTACCATTTAGGAAGACTTCTCAAACAGACTGACTCTCAGACAGATGCACAAATGCTCTGCTCTGAAAACATGCAATGCTCTGAACATTTGTGGAGTGTCCTGAGCTCTGCTATTTCATCCATGGGTCCATTTAAGTTTCAGGAGACTTCAGTTTTCCTAGTTGTGCCACAGATTTTTTGGTGTGACTTTGGCCACATCAGAAACATCTGTATGCTTCTGTTCTTGATATATAAAATGATATCACTTTGGGTCTGCTATCTTTGTGGGAGGGACTGATCTTGTGTGTGTGTGTGTGTATGTGTATGTGTATGTGTGTGTGTGTGTGTGTGTGTGTATACACACACACACACACACACACACACACACACACACACACACACACACACACACCCACACACACACACACACACACACACACACACACACACACACACACACACACACACACACACACACACACTGTGCCATGAGTGCAGGGGACTGGAATAGATGACCTCTTGAAGTCACCTTCCAGTCCTATGGTTCTGTGAATATCATCTAAAGCAGGGGTGGACAAGATAGGGTATGTGGGCTGGATCTGGCTGCCAAACCATTTGATCTGGCCTGTGGCTGCCTTGCTGTTCCCCCACCCCCAGGCCAATCAAAACCTGGGGATGGGGAAGTGTGCAAAGTCTCCACCTCCCTCAGGGGCACAGAGGGGCACAGCTGTTCAGAACAGCTGGCAGTTCCCTCTGCACTCTGTGCACCTCAGGTGGAGAGGGAGCGAGACGTTGACCACTTCCCTGCCCTCAGGCCAATCGTGGGGAGCATGCCAAGTCTTCTCCCTCCACTGACGCGGTCACACCTAGAAGGAACATCCCCCTTCTTCCTGAGGCTCTGCCCCTTCAGGAGTGTCCTGCAGCCACTTCCAAAATTTGCAAAGTGGCTGCCTCTGCAAAAATTATTACCCACCCCCTACTGATGTTAAATTCTGAGGAATAAACTTTCGGAGAATATTCTCAAGAATGTTCTTGAGAATATTCTCCAATGTGAGAATTTTTGAGAATTTTCTCTTAAATACTTGTTAAATAGGTTTTAAAGAATTTTACTATTTATAATCATGTCTTTCTTTAATAAGACTTCAAGAATCATGAAAATTTCCAATTGTTAAAATGAAAATTCGGGAAAGTAAAGAAAAAAAAGACAGAGGTTTAAATTACAAGAACTTTTATTACAACCCTTCTGTTGCAGGATACAAATATTTTTAACTTTCTGGATTGAATACTAGTCTAATCAGAATCTGCCCTTTCTGAATCTGACCCATATATTTCTATCTCTTCTTCCTCATACATATCCTCTTCAACTTCTTCTTTCTCTTCAGCATCTTCAGTTTCTTCTTCCTCATTTCTCTGGTTCGGTTTCCTTTTTTTTCTTGGGGATTTCAGCGGAGCATCATTTGGGTTTTTAAGAAGCTTTACACAGTAAAACTCCGATGGTCTGGCACTCCTGATGGTCCGGCACCATCAGGAACCCGGAAGTGCTCCGGGCAGCTGGACCATTGGAGCTGCTCTGCTCCCAGCTTCTCCGATTCAGCCACTGCTAAAACTGACCAGCGGCTGAATTGGGGAAGCCGGGGGCAGAGCAGCTGGAGTGCCGCTGGGTAGGGCCCGTAGCGCTGCCCCCCGGGGCCGGACGACCC